AAGAGCCCTTAGGTCTTTGAGGTTTAGGGTTTAGGGTTCTCACCTGCCAGACGGTAGCAATCCCAATATAGGAGCCTTTTTCGTTCGAGCAGAGTTTTTTTGGGGGGGGTGTACGGCATAGTGTGCTTATGCTCGGTTCAGGGTGTAGGATTATGAGGGTTTATGGTATAGGGTTTAGGGTTTTGGGGTTTATGGTATATAGGGTTTTGGGGTTTATGGTTTTGGGTTTGGGGGTTTGTTATATAATGTAGCGGCTTTAATTGGCTTTAATAATTAGAATAGGGTTTTGGGGGCTCCTTCCTCTGATTATAGTAGCCGTATAAATGTACCCCCCAAACCCGGTTTTGGGTTTTGGGTTTAGGGTTTAGGGTCTAGGGTTGGCTCAAGCTGGACCTCCTCCTTCCAGAGGATTGGGCCGTACGTTCCCTTCTGCTCTTGGCCTGGTTGTAGTTCTGGCGCCATGGAAGGTGATTACCGAGAGAGGCTCCATGTTTGGCTGACCGGGTGCAGCTTGTGCCTTTGTGCCTTTTCGGATGTTGGTGTGGCAAGTCCCACACTGCAACCCTGATGCTGAGCAACGAAGGGCTAGTCAGCAATGCGTGCTCCCAGCCCTTTTGCCACTCGACATTTCGCCTAAAGCCGATAATGCAGCAGTGCAAACAACAGTCAGCAAGTACTCGTATCGACTGCTGTTCCTCTTTAGAGGAGCCAACTGACACATTGTGGTGTACTAGCTCGCATCACCATTAAATGCTTGCAGCAAACACTCCTGCATCACATTTCAGACCTCAGTCTGGAACACAGTTCAGCAATTCAAGCCACAGTACATTGCCGACTGATTTGAGCATACATGAGCAAATTTCACAAGATGCAAAACAGTGCAATCAGAGCACAGCGAGTGCTGCATTGCATTGCAATCACATACACGTCTGCTATGAGTCGGAACAAATACGGGCGAAGATGATGCAAAGCATTCTTGAAACTTGGTGGCGTATGCCAAGATTGGATGAAGTCAACCTCTTGACGAATAAGGATGAACAACTATATGATAAAACCCCCTATTGCTACTATGCTATTCGGAGCATTGCATGTGACTTTGCAAAGTACAACAGCTACAAGCTTCAATAGCTAGACCAATGCGCAGGTTTGCAACTGCGTGCAGCTTTGTCTTTGGGGCTTTGGAGGGTTCTTTGCCAGACTTGTTTACTGCCTGGCTTGGGGTTTTTGCACTTTCGGTTGGGATGAGCTCAATCGATGGGGTGATACATCGCAATAAAGTTATTGAAGATGAGAACTGCATGTGGAAAGCCCTCGCGAGACAGACTCCCTGCACATGGCATGGACTCAAACATAAGGTAGTTAGATTTATGCAGGGTCACCGTAGTCACAAGGATGATTCAGACCTTGTCACTGAAGTTTGAAAGCATAGCAAGCATAATGCTTGGGCTTATACGAATGGCTTAAATGCAGTGTCATCCTTCTTTCAATGTCCCATCCTTGTCTGCACAGGATCACATATCATCCGATGCACTCCTCAATGGCTCGGCTGCAGACAGCAAGGGTTGTAAGAGTTTGTACCTGCACTATGACAATCAAAACAATAGCATGTCCGACGAGAACGATGTCAGGTGTAGACGTGTGAAGGGATGTAATATGCCACCTTGCAGTCTGTCGCAGTTTCACCGCATTTCCCTTGAGTGCGTGCCCTAAAGCACTTCACATCCTGAACGCAATTTTCGGCAACTTGTTTCGAGCAGTTTTGCACGCAAGCAAAGGCGTGTTTTGTTCGATTCAATCCTTTTCCGTGTGGACTCAAGTTTTTGTTGTTGAAGGCAGCCGTCACATCACTGTAAAGCCTCAGATCGAGTCGGCTCATCTTAGTATTTGCACCACACCTTTATGCCCAGGGGTGGCGCCGCAGCGCTGCAGGCACACAAGGAAAACAGCTCGCGCTGCCTTGCAGCGCAAGGTCTCCTACCCGGAAAGGGCGGGGGCCGAGGCGGCCGAAGCGCATGCCCATACGGGTGTGGAAAGTTTCTAGCCACCCATGAGACATGGGCGCTAGAACAACATAAGTGGTTTTGCAAGGCATTTTCTCGTGCACCTCCCAGCACAAAAGTGCCAAGCGAGGACTCGACAGTTGGCGGTCCAGCTGCTGGCAAGGCGAACGCTGCGGCGACGACTCGGAGCATTCCCCCAGCTACTGGAGAGGCCAGCGCTGGGGCGAAGACTCGTGGTGGTCGAGGATCACCAGAGAGCACTCCCCCAGCTACTGGGAAAACCAGTGCTGGGAGAAGAGCGACTGGAATTCTTGGTGGTCCTGGGGCACAGACGTGCCCAGCTACTGGCATGACCAGCGCTGGAGCAATAGGACATGGCCCTGACAGCAATGCTCGCGAGGAAAAAACGTGAGTCCGAGGTGCACTAGGCGTGTGTGTGTGTGTGGGTCTGAGGCTCTACAGTGATGTGACACAGCTGCTTTCAACAACAAAAAAATTCATTCCACACGGGAAAAGATTGAATCGACAAAAACACGCTTTAGCACTCCAGCAAGCAATTTCGTCACACACATTCCGAAAAAAACGTAACAAAATTGTGCATCCAGTTCGGTCAGTTTCACACGACACGATGGTGGTTTACAAGCCTGAAGGGGCTGCTGAGGCTCGTACGGCTTCGGAAGCTCTCTCGGAGCAAGTTGGTAGGGTTGCCAAAGCAAAGTCACTCCTGGTGGATCGCTGCCGAAATCAATCGGACCCAAAGGGACATCATACATCCCTCTGAAGGGAGTGAATGTACTTGCAATGCTTATTCGGCCTATCCAGAACGCCATCCCTGCGAAGCCGATTGGACCTAAAGAGCCAACTGGACCGCCACCGGGCTATGGTAGACCACTTACGCCTCCCCTAGGCCAGACGTGCTCTGGCAACTACTCCGTCGTTTGCACCACCGCCAGTTAAGCTGACCGCTACTGCGTTGGGGACCCTGCATGCTGCTGTTTCTGCAAAGCCTACGTCGCAAGCAGCTAACACTGTCAATGCTGAGCACATGCGTGACACTGCGCTATCTGCGAACACGGCCATTAGCAACAGGTACATGGCAATCGCTTCCGCAAGAGTATGCTTTTGGTGGCAGAATCCTCCAGAGGTTGAGCGTGACGCTACGATTGTGCTCACCCAGAGGCTCCGGGGTATCTCCACCAGACGTTCCGGGCTGTCTCTAGCACAACCCCAAGTTTTGCCATCTCTGGGGGGCGTGTCGGGGCTGTCAGGGCAAATTCGGCACGTACCGCCACGTCCCAAGGGAGCCTCGCCTGGAGGGCCCGAGACTTCAAGAAGGTTCATTTGAACATAGAATTACGTATCTCATCATGATCAATCCGTGGCTGTATGCTTCGACTGCAATTGGTCATTCCTGTAGATAGCTCAGCCTTTCAAATGATCCTATCGTAGTCTATTGTAGCACGAGAACTCCGATGCAGACATACGATCTTCTGTGTCCTACTAAAATGCTGTCCGGTAGGAGCCACTCATATTATCGGTAGGCAAGGATTTTCCGTGTTGCCCAATCTATCCTTTCCCGCCAGAGCTTTTGCGTCTTTTGTGCCCCGTGCACGGAGCGATGTCATCAGCTGGCCGTCGGTGGGGGCCAACGTGCCTCGCAAGCCAGTTCATCGAGGCGGGGAGTACGTGGGCACCCAGCTGCTGACTGCTGACTGAACGTTCAAAGGTCGTGCACATGCTCATGAATATGCAGGTGTATACGTGTGTGTGTGTGCCGTCATCCTGCAGCATTTGCAATATCGATCCAAGTGTAGCACAGGGTTATTGCCGATCGAGCTTGTATATGCAAGAACTCATCACATGCAAGATGTATAGATGAGGTCCAGACATACACGGTGCTGTAAGGTCTTGCTGTGTTCCGCATTCCTGAAGTAGGGTAGTGCGGAAGTGCACACTTGCCTGACATGCCGGCAAAAACTGGCACACTGCATGTGGAGCTTACTGAGCTGGAGACCACGATGTGCAGCATCGTGGCTGCATACGCGATACCGTGGTGTTCCATGTGCAACACAACTGTGTGAAGCCCTCACGCTGGGAATCTCCCTAGGTAAGCTGAAGATGCACTTGAAGACGGATGATTTCATCCGATGTGGGCGATCCGTAGCTCCTGAGAACACGTTGCTGTACATCAGCAACCCCATCGCTATGGATGATTTAAACCGCTATATGGACCTGGTAGAAGCTTTCTTCTCAATTTCTCCGAAAGGCCTTTTCGCTTGCAGTGCATGGAGCATGCATATGTGCATCCTCTGGAACTCTAGAGATTGACCTTCAAATTTGCATGTATAGTTGGGCGTGGACACAGGAGAATTTTCAGCGCCGTCTCTACAGATGATCTTTGCCAAGCTAAACGAAGAAGCCGAGAACGGCCTCGCAAAGACCAAAACTCGGTCTGCGTTGAAACGGTGGATGAGTGATGAGCCTTGTCGTGTCACAGTGGGATTGTCGCTCTACAGGTATGTCCTAGTGGTCTTAGCTGCGTGTTCATGGGAGCTTAGGAAGTCTACAGCTTGACCAACCTTCTGAGCTTTGCTCGGCGGTACTGGAGGAAGAGCCTCTCCAGACCGACGAAGACGGAAGTTGCTTGGGGTTACATATACATGCAGCTTGCAAGGTATGTGAGCACTTGCATGCATGCCCGGTGCTTGAGAATCGCAGGCTGCCCGCCGACTGCAAGCGATCATGACGTGCAATGACAAGAAAGCCCGACCGATGTGCAGAAAGGACAAAGGCGGTCCTGCGACGCAGACCGAGCAAGCTGACGGCATTGACGAGGCGGATGATTGTATCATCTTGGAGGACGAGGACGGGTGTGACGTGGACGCCCGGCTGGAGGAAGTCCCCCTCAACGATGGAGGCGGCGGGGCAGGCCATGTGTGATGACAAGTTAATATAGATTGTGCAGGTGCTCATTCATAATCCTTGGATGCTTCTTCTGAGGCAATCAGTTTTCTATTGCCGAGGGCGAGGGCACTCATGATGAGTCTTCCGACTCGATGTGCATTATTGATGATGACGATGCTGAGGAGTCGCCGGGGGCTTCCAAGGATGTTGCTTCGGCAGCCGCTGCGCCGGCTGCTGTAGATCCTATGGAAATAATAGACAGTGACACTGAGCTAACTCCACAGGAAGACAGCCCGGCCCCTTTGAGCAAGGTCCCCTTGGTCGCTGTCGAAACACAGGAAGCAAGCTCCGACCCTCCAGTCGGTAAACAGACCTTTGCAGACTCTCAGTTGATTCAGTTGATGTGCATTGATTCGGACGATGACGCGGCGCAGGCTGCTCCACTGCCTAAGTGGCCAGGCGAAGCCGCTGTTGTTGTGCCCAACCCCCACCCGTTCCGTAGGTGCGACACGAGTGCTTCTAGCCTGCCGGTGCCAGAAGATCGGGACAAGGTTGATGATGCTGCCAGCTATGTAGGTGGCAGCACGGACAGTCTAGAGAAGTCGATGGCTGCTGTCTGTTTGACGAGCCCCGAAGCAACCCAGCTGCAAGGATTCAGAAAGATCGCGATCGGCTGCGAAGGTTGTACAGCTGTAGCCGTGCATTTCGGTCATGCTGCAGGTGCTCGACCTGGCTCCGAAGGATGTTCCCAGAGCGCCAGTGCCGAAGGTGAGCAAGTATCCCGAGGTTTGCCCGCCCCAGCCGGAGTTCCTGGAAAGCATGGACAAATGTATAGCAGAGGCTGAACCACCTTTGTACAACTCGACTGGCCTGGCAGGCGGTAAGAAGCGCCGTCGTCGCGGCAAGCAAGCAGAAGAACCCGCTCCCAAGAAAAGCAAGGTCGCTGATCATGCGGAAGATGATTGCGGAGATGACGATAATCATGATGATGACGGGGAGCCTCATGTGTCCGAGGATGAAGCGATGGAGGAGTCCACCACACATCCGGTGAAGGCTCCTACAAGGAAGCCGAAGCTTTTGGAGAAACAGGTGGCCGAGCCCAAGAAAAATCAAAGCCTGGAGGCAAAGGTGGCTGATCGCCAGAAAGCACCGGTGGACCCCAAGGTGACCGATGCCGTTTGCAAGAAAGCGGCGAAGAAAGCCGAGAAGCCAGCGGCGAGGGAGCCCGCGCCAGTGGATGCAAAGGCTCATGCGCCCAAGAAAGCAAAGCCCGTGGAGAAGAAGGACCCCGAGGAAGCGGAGCCCGTGAATGCAAAGATGGCTGATCGCAAGAAAGACGAGAGTGCAGCCGCCGAGGTTGGGAAAGTGGATGGCGCGTCGGCAGATGATCTTCCGAGCCGGGAGGAGCTGGAGAAAATGGGCGCCTTCACGCCTCCAGACCATATCCACGGAAACAACATCTACAGCAACGCGTACCGCCAGAGCTTGAAGGTGGACAATTGCAAGGAGAACGCAAAGGCTCAGGGGCGCCGAGCCTCTGCGATGTTCAAGGCCTACGGACTTTGTTTGCCGGAGATGGTCGGTACGTTCCGCGCTTCCAGAAGGAAACCCAACAAGCAGGGCACCAGTGAGCCCTAGGTAATCAAAACCTGAGAGATATTTTCGGTGTGCCATGAATGGTTCCGGATTTTCGAAGCATGCAGCCTGCAGCCTGTGTGATAACACATGCCTGCTACCAAGTTGTACAGATTTTGAAAGCATGTGTGTGTATTTACACGCACGATGATGCAAGATTAGGACTCACGGTTCGTGATGCGAGAACCCTTTCACCATGCAAGCCCCGGGCAGTCACAAATGCTTGACTCATGTGTGTGTGGTTGTGCACGAAGCAACCATGTGCAACGCGCAAGCACTTGTCTGCATCTGTTTGCATCCTGCTCCACGTAGTTTGGCTGTTTGGCTTACCGGCCATATTGGGCTGTGGAGGTGAGGCCTTTTTCTTCGGTGCCCCTGGCTATGCTGCTTGGGAAAGCATGCTACCTTGGCCAGTACTTTGTTGGCACATAGCACATGCAGTAGTTGCACATAGCACGCACGCATGGCTTCGACATGACCTCACGCATGCTTTGTGCAGGGTTTGCATGCATGCATGAAGGCAACGTGGGCGTCCTCATGCTGAAGCTTCGGATGATGGTGGTGCTGTTGCAGCGGTGCCACGCTCACTGCCAGCCGGGCACGAAGGGGGCTTGCCGATGCGGTTTTACAGGATCGTGAAGCGATTAACGGAGGTTTCTCGGGTGCATAAATGCATGGACTCCATGCAGAACTATATTACCCTTGATGCGTTTCTGATGTGCCAAACTAAGGCTTTTGCGCCTCCTGCGAATGCTCCTTTCCAGTGTGTGGATATGTTCGCGGGGAAAGCTACCATAGCAAAAGCTTTTCGTCGTGCAGGCTACAATGTGGTGGCCCTCGACATCGCTTTCCGCGAACCTCCCATTGATGACGCTCTGCCTGTGTACATATGCTCGGATCCCGTGTGCCAGGGCTCTGCATGATCATGCTTGAAATCTGTCGGCATGACTGCGGTTTGCCACTCTCGCGACATATGCTACAGCCGAGGACATTAATTCCCCAATGGGTTTCATGCGTCACGTTTGGAGCATTTGCAACCTGCAGCGGGGTGGCCTTGCCTTCGCTGGGGTTGTATGCTCGAGCTGGACGCTCATCAACCGTACCCTGGATGCAACACTTTGTTGCAGCTGCATGATCATTGTAATTACTGCCTATAGACATGCAGGAGGAACATCCGAAAGGACGCCAGACAACCCGATGGGAAACTCGTTTCTCGCCGTGCAGGGTGTGTGCGTGCATGTGTGGCTGTGTGCCATGCATGTGTGCATGTTCCATATGCCTCGACCTGCCCGCCTGCGCCATCCCAGGCGCCGACCATCCGTCGCCTCCGCGAATTTGATGATTTCTAGGGAGCCTTGACTCGCAACAACTGGTCGGGAATCCCCTACTCATCTCAACTTATACAGTATAAAATAAATGGTGTAAAATCCTTTAGTGTCCCAAGCAACCCCACCGTAGGTGTCGAGTGAGCTACGGTTTAAGCTACCAGCTATCTACAATTACTGTAAGCCTTACACCTACAAGTTTATAAGCCTGAGCCCTGTTCATCGAGCTAACCAGCTTGGTTGCTGGTTTATAGCTTACCCCTCATAAACCTTTATAAACCCTAAACCCCTAAACCCTATAAATCTCAACCCTATAAACCCCCCTAAACCCCTAAACCGTAAAATAGCCCAACCTTAGAGGCGATTGGCCAAGCATTCGTTGTGCTCGCTTGGTTTTCAATAGCAACTTCACACGTGCAATGTTGACATCTCTTTCGCGAGAGAGAGAGAGACAGAGAGAGAGAGAGAGACGGAGAGAGAGACACAGAGACAGAGAGACAGGGAGCGAGAGTGAGAGTGAGAGCGAGAGACAGACAGAGAGACAGAGAGACAAGGAGCTATAGAGAAGGATGCAGGACACAAGGGAGAGGGAGAGAGAAGGGAGACAGAAGGGACAGCGGGATGCATAGCCAACGAGTGTCTGGCATTCTTGGCAGTGTCGACACGTATGACATCATGCAGTACCGTGGCTGAATATAGTCGAGGTTACGCTGTTGCTGATGCTATGCGAATACTACGGCTGCATCTGGTGCATTGAAAACCCTGTATCATCAATGGCCCGCCGCTTATCGTGTCCATGCATTTCGGTGATTGTAGGCAAGGCTATGGATCATAGAGTTGTAATGTAGTATATTTATATAACCCATGAGTAATCAGCTAGCTTGAGGTGGACCAACACCTCCGTTTGCGAGACTTCCTGAACCGCAAAGCCCACTACACAGTGAGCACGTGGCTGGGAAGCTTTGGGGGACCGACCCCAAAATGCATCAAACTTTTCAGCAATGATGGTTTCATTCGTCGATTGCAAAGGACAGTCATGCTCAATGTGAGTTGCATGTAAACTTTGTGCCAACGGCATATTTAGGCCATAAGCTGTTTGGTGCACACACAGGAGGCTGCGACGCAGGGAGTTTATCGGGCCGTGCACGACCTCTGTTCGATATACGGACAAGGACGGGAAACGACGATACAGAGGGTCCAAGAACTTGAAGGCCTCGCAGGTGTACCCTTCTTCTTTTGGAAGGAATGCTACTTGTCCAGATAGCATTAAGGTCTCAATTGATTGTACACTATGCAATGGCTCTCTGGTATCACCCAGAAGGTACATTCCTCAAAGCATATTAGACAGAGCGGGCCCATCTGAACCATCCACGCCTCCCAGGTTTGGCGAACGTGGGAGCTCTACGGCCAAGACACCCGCCAACCCGACCTTGATGTGAACATTTCCCCCGACCCTTGGGACGATGCCCAGCCTCCGGTCTGCAAGCGCCATATAGAAAGGGCACCTGGCACTCTTCTGTTGGCGATTTACAGAGTATGGGGCAGGATTTGTCAGATCGTGCACAAAGCCCATACCCCAACTTATACCCGGGCCCTGACCAACCACCCTAGCTTAAATGATATGTGTAGTATATGTATATACCCTTTAACTTGTAAGCGCCTACACTTCGCTAGACCTGCCCATGGAATGCCTCAATTGCCCGGACGTTTAGTTTCTTACGGCTTCGCAACTTCAGTGAGCTGCATAGGGTTCGTAGAGGTGTATACCTCTTGGGGTGTGCCTAGACCCGTGTATCTTTCTATACCTATCTATCTTTGTTCTTGAGAATTTCCTTGCGCATCTTGTCCCTATAGGTGTACGTATGTCTGTGTTTAAAGACGATCGGAGCTCTTTCAGTCCTAGCTAGCTAGCTGGCCTTCGGTCCCAGAGGCAGAACATTGTCGGTTTGCGCCTACACGTAGCAGTAGTTCTCGTGACCCGGATCATGGAGATGTTCGAAATAAAGGGTCCCATCTAGCTGGAGCAATCCATATAGTAGGCCGACGTTTGAGGAATCCTTGTTGTCTTGTAGTACATGAACCCGCTACCTCTTACAAGCCGGATGCTATAGGGTCGCTAAAGAACTAAATGGTTCGAAAGCCAGCTCAGGTTGTCTGCAGTGGAAGATTACCTGCGCAGCCTGGGAGCTTGAGGAGTGTGCCAAATTATAAGGAGGGTTTGCTTGTATGTGCAGGTGAGCAGCTTGTGGCAACTTGGGACAAAGATGCTTTCCTAGAGCCGCAATAGCGGTCCTGCTAGATAGCTAGCTCTATATACGCACCCAAAACCCTGGGATTCTTATCGTAGGGCTATAATAGGGGTTGTATATAAGGCGTTAGCGGTTTGCTAGGGGTATCTATAGGCTGAGGGGTTAGCACTTCCACTTCCGAACGATCACGAGCCCCAGCTGCACAATACTTATGGCTGCCTGAAATGGCAGACCCAAGTGCTTCGCGAATCGAAGCACGCAGCTTGCACGCGGAATTCCACTGGTGTGCAAAGTGCTGCTTGAAACATGTTGCAATGGCCAAATACCACTTGGTGCCCAGCATACCCCTATAGCACTACAAACAAGACGCAGAAGATACCACATGTGCACACACCGGTCGTGTGTATATATATATATATATACACACACATATGTGTGTGTGTAGGTGCTCGTTCTTATACGAATATGGTCTTACATGTACATATACGGTTATGCATACACATACCAGACACATACATACATAGTATGTGACAATGTATGCATGTATGTATGTATGTATGTATGTATGTATGTATGTATGTATATGTATATGTATATGTATATGTATATGCATAGACCCACACATATATATATATATAGGTACTTATATATATATATATATATGTGTGTGTGTGTGCATATACATCGCTTTGGTGCATATATATATATATAGATATACTGTGTATATTTATATAGATAAAACACACATACACACATGTGCAATTGGAACGCTGCGGTATATACTTATGGTGTTGCCCGCATGTAGATCGACTTCATGCCGGTGACCACAGCTGATGCTCAGTGATCCTTTGCCATGGTACTATAGTATATGTCCAACTGACGCCAACTGACGCATCTGGCTGCTCGATATCCCTAACTGACGCCAACTGACGCCAACTGACGCCAACTGACGTCCTTCTGACGCACGGTTCCTTTGGTATCCCTAACTGACGCCAACTGACGCCAACTGACGCCCTTCTGACGCACGCTTCCTGTTGGTATCGCTAACTGACGCCAACTGACGCTCGGCTCTTATATCTAACTGACGCCAACTGACGCCAACTGACGCCAGCTGACGCCCTTCTGACGCGCGGTTCCTTGATGTCCCTAACTGACGGCAGGCTCGATCGTATAAACCTTAAAGCCTTGAAGCTTGGGGGCCGCCCTATGCTGGCCATGATGCTCACCCCCAACATGATCCTCATGATGCTAGTTACTGCTAGTTGCTCGGTGGTCTGGGGGACGCCAAATCTAGGAACGTAAGCAACCTGCACCCCTGCAGCGGCGCCAAATCTAGGAACGTAAGCAACTTGCACCCCACTGGGCGGGTGCAGGTTGCTTACGTTCCTAGATCTGGGGGGGCGGCGGGGTGGGAAGGGGCTGGTTTTGA